ACAAACATCCATTCCCACCCTCATGCTCTCATATGCACTTACTCCACACTCAACCAACGTGGAGACAGACATAAAGAGACGCTGTACACACGATCACACTCCCCAAGCGTACTCTACAAACCGGGTCCAGGTACCCTTGCCCCTGGAGGGGGGAACTCACAGCACGATTATTAAAAAACACAAAGACACAAAGTGGGGCTAAATGATGACAAATCTCACAAACCACAGGGACACTAAATGGCTAAAAGAAAAGCACAGTGTGTGGTGGGAGTGAAGATGACTGCAAAGCAATGAGAAATGACTCAAGCAGAAAGCTTTTTAAAAAGGTGCAAAATATCCACCAAGTGATGCTTGATGCCTACAGAGGGGCTCAAAATGACTAAAAAGGTTTCTTTATGAGTACAAAGGGATGGACAACAACATCAAAGAGGTGCAGAAGGATTAGAAAAGGGCTGCAAAGAGACTTAAAATGACAAAAAGGATGCAGCATGACTCTATAGGAGTGTGAAATTCCTGCACAAGGATGCAAAACCGCCCTGAAGTGCAGATAGATGAGCACAAAGATATAATGAACTATTACAAAGGAACAGAACGACTTCAAAGGGATGCAATGTGCGACATATGGCTGTGAAACGTCTATAAAAGGACAGAAAATGACCTCAGACAGCATCAGCTCACAGTAACGTACATTACTGTGAAATGTACAGTTCCACTACTGTCCAGCAGAGGCAGCGGTGAGTCAGTCCCATGTGTACAGACACTGTTTGGTCTCCGTAGATAATTTCCTCCTTCATAAGAACTGTGAGTATGAGCTGATGTAAACCTTTACATCAGCTCATACTCAGCACATTTACAGTCATAAAGACATTTACCTTCTGATTTTCAGCGCTGTAGTTAATTAATTTCTGACTGAAACTGTGTAAAAACTGCACCTGTGGAGTTTCTCCTGAAGCAGGCCCTGCTGAGATTCAAACACAGCCTCTGCTGTTTAACCAGCCGCAGCACTGCAGCTGAAGCAGCTCCACCCGTCCAGGGTGATGGAGCAGCTGGTGGTGTTTGCACCTTTGAAGAGCAGCTTTGCATTGAATAAGAAGACTTCTAATGATGGGCTGCTGGCTCAGCTCACCAGGTCAGGTAGCCTGTGCTGTATGCTGTGAGGCTGCTGTAGAGGTCAGATGATGTCGACAGGTGTTTGATCTGCTGGCCTTTCTTCCCAGTTCCCTCACCGTTTCCCCCTCTTGCCTCCCCCTGTCTCGTCTTCCTTTGCAGCTCCGAGTGCACTCTGTTGGCGTTGCACTTTTTAGTTTCTTCCCCAGAAACAGCAGCAGCACATGCAGCGCTGTCAGGGCAGCAGCGTGGACTCTTCAGTGTTTACGTGTCGTGAGTTAGACTTGGTCATTAATCATGTTATTGTGCAACAGGCTTTCAGTGTGTCTGTGTGTGTGTGTGTGTCACTAAAAGCTGCTTTGTAGAGGAAATCAGAGCGAGATGTTTTAGTTTTTATGTTTTCGTGGTTTGACACACTGAGCAGCATCGACCCATGGAAGAATGATTTCAATCAACTCTGTGTGTGTGTGTGTGTGTGTGTGTGTGTGTGTGTGTGTGTGTGTGT